ATATAATTTGTCATTTTTTGCTAACCTGGATTCTAAATGTTTCAGCTGGGCTACGGCTTTCGGTTTGGATGGGCCGAGATGCTGTTCAAAGTTTTCGATCATTGGCATTCTTACTTCATACCTCCCATTTGGTAATCTTTTAGTTGTAGACACATAGTAATTATCGCACCATTGCTCCCGTTCTGTCAATGCCTTGTTTTCTGTAACTTCTTCCATTTCCCAGAACCTTGTCATATCTTCTTCATTATTCACAACCACGTAACAATTAAAACTTGTAGACTTGATACTCCCGGATAAAATCCATCCCAACTTAGTTTGTTGAGCTATGGGTTGTTGTACTGACCCGCGTAATAATCCATTCATAATAATTTCCGAGTACACCTTCACGTCAAGTAAAATGTCAATAGGTTTTGAAATATGATATTCCGGATCGGCCAACTGAATGTTTTGTAGATGCGAATATTTTTTCTTGTCAAATGAAGTACTTGGCAGGTTATTAATAACTTTTGTCATGATAAGAGCTTCGGTCTCGAAATCGTAGTTGTCATAAATTGATTTGCAATTCAGTGTGATTTTGCCCTTGCCTTTCTTCGGAGCAACCCCTATTCCGCAGACGGACGCGTTGACGTGTTGACGACGCAGGCCTAAGAGTTGTGCTGCATTTTCCGTGATTAGGGTGATTTGTGATCCCTGATCTAGAAGTGCACGGAATGTCACGTATGTACCATCGGCTGCTCTCACTTTAATTTGCACCGTTGTCAATAATAATTCATTGTTTTCGCTGTCAACATGGTTTGCATTTTTATTTAATATGCGCGAATTAGTCATCGCCGATGTCGATGACGTCGTCTGGTTGCTAAAGGCTTCATGTAGCAATGAATTATGTGCCCTATTGCAGATTTTACAGCGTTTAGTGGAATTGCAAAAACCTTTTTCATGTCTATACAGACAATTCTGGCATATGTTGTGTTTCGCAATGCAATTTAATTTCATGTCAGATGACATAGATTCAAACCTTTTGCACTGATGCAATGCGTGATCGAAATTGCACAGTGGACATTTGTCACGTTTATAATTTGTGTAATATGCACGAGAAAAAGTAGGTTTTTGAGATGCATCATATTTTTTCTCATGTTTGTCAAATTTTGTCACCATTTTTGTCATTTTATTTACTGTTGATTCTTCTCTCTTTCGAATAGGCTCTAACGCTGTAAATTTAATTTCTAAAAATGTAAAGAAATCCTCTAATTTTGCACGTTCCCGTGGGTTCTTTCTTGCCTCTTGATAATCTCGATAAGTCTCGGTGTCAAGCTTCTTAGACAAGAGATGCACCAGTAGAGGACCCCATGTTGCTATGTCCACTCCCAGATTTTGTATGGCATGCATGCATTCTTTACTTATGTCATGTAATTTTTTAATCTCGTAAGACGTTTGCTTTTGTATACTTGGCTGGTTGAGAAACACTTCTATTTGTTTGCTGAAAAGGAGCTGTTTATTATTATAACGTTGGCATAAAATATCCCATGCGGTGTCATAATTGTCCGCAGAGATGTGGAGATGCTGGATCAATCTCTCCGCCTCTCCTCTCACTTTACTCTTTAGGTGTTGCATTTTTTGTGACTTACTGAGTGTAGTGTTATTATGTATCGTTTCTTTATACAAATCTAAAAATGTAGGCCAGTCTGTATAATTCCCTGTAAACACAGGAATGTCCATTTTCGGTGTCGATTCTTTGAGATGAGCCGTCGACGATATTTTTCTATTTAAAATCCGTTTTATGTTCCTATATCTTTGCTCGTGATCGTTAAACTCATCTTCGTATTCCGGGTTCGACTCCCCCAACAAATTATCTATTTGCCAATGTAGTTTGTCAATACACTCCCAGCGTACTTGTATGTTACGAAGTTCATCTTCTAACTCCCATTTTTCATCTATCCCCTCCACATTACAATACTGAATTTGCCTAAGAAATGCTTTAAAGTTAGTTCTTTGTTGATTTATCAAACTTTTCAAATTTGATGTGTCATTCGATACTGTATTTTCCCCAATCTCTATTTTGTCAACTGGCATCTTGAAACTCACAATCATATCCCGCGTCGATTCATAATATGCTTGTGTTTGTTGGTAAACCTTTTTTATAAAATATTCATGCGTGGTATCCATAAATGTCAATAGTTGGTCATGATTGAATTCAAAATCTTCCCAATATTTGTCTACTCTCTCTAACTTGCTAGCAATGTACTCAGGAGTCCTTCTTCTAAAAGAATCTTTCTTGAAGTTAATATTTTCCCTTTCTAAGCCTCTAATAATGGACTGCTGATTATCTAAAATAGCCTCCATTGTTGTCAATGCGTCGTACAAGTAATAATGAAACAGTCTTACTTGGTACTGATGTCACCTGCGAAGAATGTCTCCTCGGAACCCGAGAGACGACGGTGTCACGATGAGAAGTTCAGTGATAGATCACCGACTCCCGTTGCAGGATATTGATGTCAACTGTGTAGGATGTTGCCTCGAAATCCGAGAGACAACGATGTCACGATGAGAAGTTCGGTGACAGACCACCGGCTCCTCTGTCAAGTATAGCTTCAAAGATGATTGCACCAACGCTGTGCGCCTCGAACGCTATAGTCACTCGCAAGGCTACACGGCTTTGCTTGATTGTTATATTTGCACATCAAACTATGTCACTTACGGATTTAACTAAATATTGCGATTGTCACTAATTGATATAAAAATTTACTGTCACTAATTGATGTCAATGATTGAGTTATGAATTGTCACTAACTGATATGAATTGTCACTGATTATCGTTTTTTTTTTTTTTTATTACTATGTCACTTTATTCGTCACTTAATCATTATATTGTCACTAATGTATGTCACTGCAGAATGTCATAGATACTACTTGCAAATAATTGTCACTGGACGCCCGGTCACTAATATAATATGTCACTTAATATAATCGCAATGCACTGTCAATCCTGTCACTGGTAATACTTTCCTAAACCACGTACACGTATTTTCGCGAAACCGAAAATCTAGAAAAGTTCTCTCGAAGGACCAAACTTAACGACTGTCAATTTGTCAATTAGTCACGGGACGATTGTCAGGAGATGATTATTAAAATACGTCAATATGATGTGAATGCCTTTATTGCACTGTCATATAATATAAAATATTGTTCTTAAACCAATTAGTGGGTCAACTGTGTCAGCAGTTTAGAGTGTATCGATTTGGAATGCAAACTCAATAAAATATAATTAAAATGGCTTGTACAATAATATATTTAAATTTTTGTCATAATACGTAGTAAATCTATATTTCGATGATTTTTTTTCTGATGGACTATTTGATACAAAATGAAGTATCAATTTATTGGAATGTGTATTTAACATGAATATTGGGAGTGAAAGTAGTTGATAATATAACTAATAATTATGAAATAGGAAAGTATTATTTTAGGAAACGCCTAGGAATAGCGGAGCCTAAAATGACGTCACCTGCTTGTAAACATGCTTGAAGTGGCATTACTTTGTATCTATCTGTAAACACGCCATATTTGATCTCCTCTTGTCGTCTCTAATATTTATATTTAAGAATGTATTTATGTCATCATCATCAGTCTAGTCCTCAATGTTGGGGCACAGGCCTTTCCTATGGATGGAATAGGGAGATTGAGCCATGACACACCACGCGGACCCAGTACGTATTGGCGGGTGCTAACGACTGCAGATGCAGCGGGGACCAACGGCTTAACGTACCCTCCGAAGCACGGAGGAACTCAAGATAGAAGATTTTTGGTCACCCATCCAATGACCTACCACTGCGAAAGTTGCTTAACTTAAACGTTCGCCGTCGAGCGCTTACCACCTGCGCCAAAGAGCTCCTCTATTATGTATATATGTATTATTATAAGTATAAGTAACTATGCATAAATTTTATATGTCTAAATCCCCCATCCATAACTATTTAACGTATATATTCAGGTATTCACACAGACTGTCTTTTCAATATGCTTTCCTGAAACGGGCCTGCTGGAAGAAATTTAAGATTGAAATAAGCTGTGCCCTTGTACTATATCTATAGTTGTAAAAAAATAGTTTAAAACTGAAACGCACCGTTTAAATCCCAAAAGCCACCCTTTTAAAACGGTATAATACCCGACTGCTAGGGTTGCCACCTTTTTTATGTCCAAATAAAGTACATTGGATATTAAAGGTAGAAAAAAAAGTGCATTGTGTACAAAATAAAGAACTTTTCATTCCACTTTATTAGTAAGCTTAAAAATATATTTTGTGTTGCTTCTAGCAACTTTTAATAAATAATTTGGGGCTACTTAAAATCTGTAGTTCTTATCCGCAATGGGAAAGACCATTGTACAAAGCCATACAGCCGCGACAATGTTGCAGGACTATACTGTTGTTCCATTTAACGTCAAAATTCTTCCTATCCTCTTTTTGTATATTTTATGTAAAATTGATCCCCAAGTAATCAAATCACTTCAAATAAAGTATTTGCGCGTACTTTTTTGTTTTCATAAAGTATAGAGTACAATTACCCGAAATAACGTACAATACTTTATAATAAAGTACGGGTGGCAACCCTACCGACTGCGGAGACAAAAGGGAGTTATGTATTTAGAATTGTAAAGGCATAAACTGGAGCCTATTTCATAAAAGAGTGGTAAACACGACCGTTTTTACTATAGTAATTTACAATGGTAGTTTATTGTGGTTGAATTGTGTTTCATAAAGTAATTTTTTTACTACAGTATTTTGGATGGGTGACCAAAAACTTGTTATCTCGAGCTCATCCGTGCTTCGGAAGGCACGTTAAGCCGTTGGTCCCGGCTGCATCTGCAGTCGTTAGCACCCGCCAAGTTCTCCCTATTCCATCCACAGGGAAGGCCTGTGCCCCAGCAGTGGGGACATTAATAGGCTGATGATGATGATGAAAGGGGAAAATGTGAATTAAGACATTATTTTTCCCTTGTTTCAGTACCGATTTAGGCAAAGAGGTCGTAACTGTATTTACAACGAACATATCCAACAACGGCCAGTTCTACACAGATTCTAATGGACGTCAAATGATGAAGAGGACCTGTTGGAATGATAGTGCAGGTAGGTCTACTTACAAAGCCTTATCTTAATGTTAAGCATGAGATCTTGAGAGATTGCGTGTTAAGATATGTGTTTAACTTTATTCCGTGCATCAATACATGGCGTTGTCAGTGTGACCCGCACTATTGGCTGTGTATATTATTACGATAAGTATCCTTAGTTTTATGATTGTGACTCGCGCTATCCTTTTGTTGCGTACTATTTTTATATGGATGCCGTTAACATTGAATAAATCATCATCCCGTTCTCAGGGGTTGATCGCATCAGATGAAGCCTGTAAGGTCCCTATGGCCACAGGCATCCCCCACGGGTGTGTTTTAGTCATTAAGAGTCTGACATAACACTACAGCCGGCTGTAGTGTAGGGGTATCCATGGGGATTTCACACCCGCTCTCCCGGGGGCCTGATAGGAAAGAAAAAAAATTAATAAATTTCCAAACCCGGTGATGCTGTTAAGGTCCTGCGACCAACAGCATACATACTCAAAAAAAATGTTCTTCTGAGTTTTTGCACTAGATCGAGTTATAGTTTCATTTTGTCCCGCAAACAGCGAGGTTGATTAAAGCGCGAAGGAGACATTACCCGAACACAGCACGTAACATTTGAAAAATATTATTAATCAGAAGTATCATAGGAAAAAAATTATAGAGTCTGTGCGGAAAGAGAATGGGCGTGGCGAAAAACGGAACTAACATTAAGATTTTTAATTGGCAATCAAACCCAGCAATCTGTAAAATGTCAAAATTTTGTATTGATACAGATTTGCTTGTTGTTGTGATTTCTTGCGGTTTTTTGTATTTAATCATGTCTAAAAGGGGTAAAACCTTACAAATACGGTAGAAAAGCACTACAGCGCCCTCCAATCTAAATCCCATTCTCTTTCCGCACAGACTCTAGCTCTGTTATTTTGTAACTTTGAAGAACAACAACTTTGAAGAACACAACTGAAATGCGACATTTCTTTCTTTTAAGAGTAATTCTGTTGTCATTTGTACAGTTTTTAAGAGAACTTTTTGTCATTGCTTGGCATTGTAATCAAAATGCATAATAGGTGTGTATGCGCAGACTTATGCTGCAGACTTTTTGAGCGTGATATTGAGGGTGCTTGTTTAGTAATATTATGGTGTCAATCTGTCAATTCTAACACCAGTCTCTCCTTTTCATTCTGTATAGAGAATGACAAGTATACACTGTTGTCAAATATAAGTTTAGGTTTAGAAAATCATGCCAGAATCGACATCTATGTATTATTACTTTTTAAATGGCCACAATTCCAACGCGTACAAAGAAATTTGGTGACTCATTTCTTTGTCGCATTATCCATGAATGGAATGCTCTGCCCGCTCACGTGTTCCTTCCTTACAACCACCTGGGATTCTTTAAAAGAGGCGTGAAGAAGCAACATGCAGGCCGGTACGGTGTGGATAGCTGATGTGGCAGGTAGAACTGCTGTACCAGCTATCTTTACGTCTGGACTTCACCGTCACTTAACATCAGGTGGGGCGGAGTCATTTATCGGACCTATAAATGTTCCTTTTTCTTCGTTTTTGTCAATTGCATTAGTCAGTTCAATGGAAACCACAGGTAGATAATAACTTTTTATATTAATTTCAGGCCAACAACAGAAGAAGTCGGTTCAATCTTGCTACTATCCTGTTTCGTCGAGAATCTGTATACACTCTCTGAACACCAGTGTGGAAATGTGTGTCTTACCAGATAGGACACAAGGTGGAACTTCGTATAACGAGGGGGAGATAGAATTGATGGTAAACATTTTTTTTCAAGTAGTTAGTACAATCGATTGCGATCGTTGAAGTTAAGCAACTTTCGCAGTGGTCGGTCATTGGATGGGTGACCAAGAATTTACTATCTCGAGCTCCTCCGTGTTTCGGAATGCACGTTAAGCCGTTGGTCCCGGCTGCATCTGTAGTCGTTAGCACCCACCAATCCACATTGGGCCCGCGTGGTGAGTCATGGCCCAATCTCCCTATTCCATTCATAGGGAAGGCCTGTGTCCCAGCAGTGGGGACATTAATAGAAAAACTAATTTTAGTCGATACAACCGTTTTCTTAGGCGTAACACTAGACCACAAACTTCAATGGAACCCTCGCATTACAACACTAGCCGGTAAACTAAGTTCTGCTGCTTATGCAATTTATAAAATAAGACGGCTTACAGATGTCGACACTGCTAGGACAATATACTTCAGCTACTTTCACAGCATTATGTCGTGTGGCATTCTATTATGGGGCACGGCTGCTGACATTGAAACAGTTTTTATTCTTCAAAAACGAGCTATAAGAGCTATTTATTGCTTGGGATCTAGAACTTCTCTTAGGGATAAATTTAAAGAAATAGGTATAATGACTGTTGCCTCTCAATACATTTATAATTGTATATTGTTTGTGCGTCAGAACATAAATTTATATACGAGGCGCGATGATGTACATAATTTCAATACCAGAAATAAAGATAACTCAAATTGCCACCATTGAGACTCCAAAAGTTTCTTGGTTCATTTGTGGGTCAAGGTGTATGTTACTATAATAAAATACCAAAAGAAATAATTAATTTACCTTTTAATAAGTTTAAAGTGTGTATAAAAACATGTCTCCTTAAGAAAGGTTACTATACTGTAAAAGATTTCATAAATGATAAGTCACCTTGGGCTTAACATAATAGACTGTCGTTTTACTTTGCTAATTTGGTTGAAAATTGTTTAATCGCCACTTCTACATTTACAAATAGTACCTAGCTATACTTAACTTTTGTTAATTAATAATATTATTGTGATGGAAGTTGACATCAACACACGTATTCAAATTTTGATGTCATCTTTCAATTGACGACACTGTATGAAACAAAACAGGGAGAAAAAAATAGCCCTTGCTGAGTTTCTTGCCGGTTCTTCTCGGTACAAGGTCTCCCGCCGTAGATTTACGAACCGATGGCGTAGCGTTTGACTTTCACAAGAACTTGTAACAGCCTAGACTGAATAAATGAGTTTGAATTTGAATAGATTAATGATGATTTTTTAATACAACGAGGAGAGTCACTTGATTAAAATTTAGTGCTAAGATCCGATTCTTTTTAATTATCTGTCTGTCAAAAATCCTGCATGACCATAATGAATAGATTGATCTTAAGTTAGCCTACGTGCGTTTGTCTATTCCATCATAGGATCGGCTTTTAATGATATAATGATGATGATATAATGAATTAATTGACTATCGATAAAATGATACCTGACCCACTTGCCCGAAAATTTGCTTAACGTTTCAAAACAGACAAGTTTTTTAATAAAAATATTACTAGAAAAAGATCCACGCGGATATTAGGCGCGCCGAATTCTCCCAGTATTTCTTAGACTGCAAGGCAGGCATTGTAGGTAACCCATAATGTCAAATATATACATGGCTGGAGTGGTTTTAATAAAATTTGGTATAGAGTTAGCTGACACCCTGGATTTAACACATAGGCTACGTTTTAACCGCGGGTAACACCGCGGGACACAGCTAGTTATATAATAATCAGCAGTGCACAGAAATCATTAAAATAGAAGAAAAAGTGCTCATGGAGCTATTTTCGTAGATTATATTAATTTGAAATAATTCTAGGTTCACAGAAGACTGCTCACTGATGATGGATTCGGTCTGGAAGAATCCCTGAATGAGGAAGCCTATGGCGTGGGGCTGGTCGTGAGAGGAAAGCATAGAATACATTTGGGGAACTTCAAGCAGGAAAGTTGGTATCTTGATTCGTAGAATGAGTTTTTGACGTGACAACGTCTTAAATTAGGTTGCGGCTGGGAGTCACTTATGAAAAAGTGTAACGCTCGGTAACGTTACGATGAGTCTCTCGTGTTAAGTTTAAGTTTACATGTACAATGTTTTAGTAAACAAAATATATTTCTATAGTTAAAATTTGTGCAATTCTTATTTTCATTCAATTCCTTGTTCCTATTGTGCAATTTAATTATATTCATATCAATAAATATTCTACCGAGAAAAAGACGTTGTCACGTAAAATCTTCGCCCGTAAAACCGACTTTACAGGCAACCATTTTTTAATGCATATCTTTACTTGTTTTTTGGTCACATACTCTCTTTCTCTCTAAGTGTCGCCGCACACGGGCCACCGACCACAACCACAAAACGCCGCCACCAGCATATTTCTTGTAGTTTTCATACATTTCATATGGACTCGCCACACGCTACAAATCGTCGTTGCTCGCTTCTTGTGGCCCGCACCGGCCACTTAATGCGCCGATACAAAACGCCGCCACACGTCACTCGCGCGATTCCCCACCCCTCTCTCCCTTACCTTAGTCGGCCGCTGTCACGCGCTTCAGCCACTTTAGTAGCCGCTTCTAGCCTCTCGGGGCGGCGTTTGTGGCTGTGGCGTGTGGCCCGTGTACGGCGACACTAATAATTCCCTTGACTCATTCTCTCTAGTTATTTATTATTACCTAATTAATAATACTGACCTGACGATTTGATATTTTTATGGGATTTGATTTGTTACTTTATTCATTTCATTATATAAGCCCTCTAACCTGTTTGTTTTCCCGGCTATCTCAGTAGATGAATTGACGTTGTCCGAGAGAGTGTCGCAGTCAGCCAGGAGATGGCAGATGGAGCCGTGGATGTTCTTCGCATCAGGGGAGAAGATCAACAGAAGAAAGTGGCAGAACGTGAGGAATAAGAGGGTAAGTTTAGGTACTTATCTTCTTCTCGATCATGGGTAACTGCCACGAAAAAAGGCATGAAGATTTCATCATATCTAAAATAATAAGATAAACATTAAAAGATGCACACACACACACACACACTCATACACATACACACACACAAACACACATAACAAACTCCTTTGGCTATTCCATTGAATTAATAACTTAAAAACAGTTATCTGGATTAATAAATTGTTTACTAAATGGTACACAACTTTATGAATAGGGTGGAGGGTTGATTAGCTGAGACACAGGATTCATCCTAGTTCAAGTGTCAACCCACCATAATCTGATCAATACGTACCTTTTATTTTTGGTAAAAAAATGCATGTTTTTTATATCATGGTTTTTATGTAGCCATTAATACCAACATTGTGAACTGTGTGATTATGGTGAGAAATAAAGGTTATTATTATTATTATCAAGCGTTTAACTCTCATACTGTTTAATTTTGTACAATAACCATATAGTTATGTTTTTATTTATTTTTAAGCATTTAACTGCTAGATGTTTAAATCTAAAGAAAATTTTACTAGAAAAATATCCACGCGGACCAGGCAGCGGACGGGACTCGAACTCGCACCCTTCGCAATCCGGGCGAATGCACTGAACATTATGCTACCACGGCCCTATTAAATGTTTAATACTTGAAAAAGTATTCATTTGACATTGTGGGTTACCTACAATGCGAAGAGATGGCGCTGCCTTGCAGCTTAAGGCTAGGAAAATTTCGACGCGGCAAATAGGGCCGTGGTAGCATAATGGTCAGTGCATTCGCCCGGATTGCGAAGGGTGCGGATTCGAGTCCCGTCCGCTGCCTGGTCCGCGTGGATATTTTTCTAGTAAACTTTTCTTTAAATAACCATATATTTTTTTCTGAAATGGTATTGAATTAACTTGAACGAAAACTCTCCAACTCATTGCATCAATCTAGTACAACTGGAGTTCAGTACGTAACCGAATAGTATACGAGTGCGAAATATCATTAACAAATGTGTACTGGTTTTTAGTTCTCGTTCTCTTTGTTCTTTGTTGTAGTGTTGCTTTTCAAGTTTCCATAAAAATTTGGCAACGACATTTCGCACTCACAAACTATTCGAATAGTTAACGAGAACTGTACCCCTAGCACGAACTATTATCGAATTCGAATAGTTTGCAAACCGAAATGTCAATGTCAAACTTTGAATGGAAACTTGAACAGCAGCGGCACAAAGTACGTAACGAGAACTAAAAATCAGTACACAATTGACAATGACATTTTGGACACGCAAACGATACGAATTCGATTTTGGTTCGTGCTAGGGGTACAGGACACATTTGATGTAAGTCGAGATCGAATTCAAGTATTCGAATTCGATATTGGTTCGTGCTAAGGGCACTGCTAGGTCCCGGGTGTAGGGCGGGTTTTCACTTCAGTCGTGTGGTCATGAGCACCCTCTTTTTTTTTGTTAAATCACACAACTAGTTAGTTTTCTTTTGGTCATTTATATCAGAACAAAGATTTTGTATATTGATAATTTCCATGTATGTCTTATTAAATAGAAATTCATAATTTATTGAACTATTCTTTAAAGTCCGTCACTGCGAATCACTTATTAAACAGAAATTCATATTTATGTTTTTATTTATTTTTTAAGCATTTAACTGCTAGATGTTTAAATCTAAAGAAAAGTTTACTAGAAAAAAATCCACGCGGACCAGGCAGCGGACGGGACTCGGACTTTTTTTTTAGATTGCTATTTCTTCTTTCAAATGTTTAATACTTGAAAAAGTATTCATTTGACATTGTGGGTTACCTACAATGCGAAGAGATGGCGCTGCCTTGCAGCTTAAGGCTAGGAAAATTTCAACGCGGCGAATAGGGCCGTGGTAGCATAATGGTCAGTGTATTCGCCCGGATAGCGAAGGATGCGGGTTCGAGTCCCGTCCGCTGCCTGGTCCGCGTGGATTTTTTTCTAATAAACTTTTCTTTAGAAATTCATAATTTGTTGATTTTTATTTTTTAAAGTCCGTCACTGCGAATCAAATTTTCGTCACGCCTAAAAGTATATCACTTCACAAATCCAGAACCAAAAAAGCCTAATGCACAAGTATAAAAAAAATTAAGGTGTTTTTCAAGTTTCATTGTCAGTGCAAGTCATTTCATGATAATTTAAAATCGAGACGGAAATTATACGAAGAACACCTTGTCGTGCGAATGACCGAACGAATCATGCCAAATTTAAATAACAACTCTTGCGAATAAACTTAAAGAATTTTTAATCTGAATATTATATTACATAATAGTGGTTCGTGCTAGGGGTACAGTACACATTTGCCATATGTCAAGATCGAATTCAAGTATTCGAGTTCGATATTGGTTCGTGCTAAGGGTACTACTCGGTCCCGGGCGTAGGGCGGGTTTTCACTTCAGTCGTGTGGTCATGAGCACCCTCTTTTTTTTTTATTTCACACAACTGGTTAGTTTTCTTTTGGTCATTTAAATCAGAACAAAAATTTTGTATGTTGATAATTTCCATGTATGTCTTATTAAACAGAAATTCATAATTTATTGAGCTATTCTTTAAAGTCCGTCACTGCAAATCAAATTTTCGTCACGCCTAAAAGTATATCACTTCATAAATCCAAAACCAAAAGTGCCTAATGCACAAGTATAATTTTTTTAACGTGTTTTTCAAGTTTTATTGTCAGTGCAAGGCATTTCATGATAATTTAAAATCGAGACGGAAATTATACGAAGAACACCTTGTCGTGCGAATGACCGAACGAATCATGCCAAATTTAAATAACTACTCTTGCGAATAAACTTAAAGATTTTTTAATCTTAATATTATACTTGCATATTTTTTAACAGTTTTCATCGCTTCGTCTTCATGGGCTGCCGAGACATGTCCACATCATCACTCTGGAACCTTGGAAAGGTGGTTCCGTATTACTCAGATTGGAGAATACTTTGGAAAAACCTGTCAGGGGTAAGAATATGACACTGAAAACCATTAATTCGTTATTTATTCTTTTATCATTATCAGTCTATTAGGCCAGGCTCATAATGTACGGTTTCCTGATCAGAAATTCAGATTCAGAACTCAGTAAGTATCGCCGCACACGGGCCCCCGACCACAACCACAAAACGCCGCCATCGTCATATTTCTTGTAGTTTTGACGACCTCCGTGGCCGAGTGGTTTGTACGCCGGGTTTCATGGTGTCGCCGACTCGAGAGGTCCTGGCTCGAATCCCGGTGGGGGCAGATGTTTGTGTTATGAATACGAGCATTTGTACTCCAGTCATGGATGTTTAATATCTATTTTCTATATAAATATATTTATATATGTACAGTTTAAGTATTCTATCCATTACCCTAGCATCCCATAACACAAGCCTTATAGTGCTTACTTTGGGGCTAGGCTAATTGGTGTGAGGGTTGGAACTATTTATTATTATTTATTTATTTCATACATTTTATATGGACTCGCCACACACGGTACGCCGGCGGCCGCCACACGCTACAAATCGTCGTTGATCGCTTCTTGTGGCCCGCACCGGCCACTTAATGCGCCGATACAAAACGCCGCCACACGTCACTCGCGCGATTCCCCACCCCTCTCTCCCTTACCTTAGTCGGCCGCTGTCGCGCGCTTCAACCACTTTAGTAGCCGCTTCTAGCTTCTCGTGGCGGCGTTTGTGACTGTGGCGTGTGGCCCGTGTGCGGCGACACTTAGCCTAGCGCAGACATTATGGACTTTTATTAATTAGGTTTCTAACCGAAAGTTGAGTTTTTGCCACTCAGAAACAAATTTAAAAATAATGTGCGCTTCGCTGAACATTTTGCATGTAAGAAAGTGCATGTGCATTTAGGACTCCAAATCGGAATTCCTGATCCTGAAACTGAATCAGGAAATTGTACATATGCATCCAGCTTTCATATCGCCACAGCTGAGGCACAGGCTACCCTATGGATGGAAAAGAGAGATTGGGCCGTGACCCACCACGCGGGCCCAGTGTGGATTGGTCGAAGCTAATGGCTGCAGATGCAGCCGGGAGCAACGGCTTAACGTGCCTTCCGAAGCACGGAAGAGCTCAAGATAATAAATAAATTGCAAATCGCAGGCTGAACGCACTAACCACTTGCGTCATCGAGCTCCTCAACTAATCTTTTATAGTATAACATAAAGAATAAGCATATACACACATCAAAAGTGTCTAGGGATCAAGCATTTTTATGCGGATTTCTTGAGATTGAGATGTGGCTTTGTAATAAATTTATGATTTTATAAATTTATATGGATCCTTTTTGGTGCATTTCATAATTTGAATCAGGAACTGTGAATCAAATTCGAGTAAAAGATGAAAATCAGCTGTCAATATTTTCCCTATAAAAACATACAACGCATTGAAGACATTATTAGTGCTACTGTTTCCCTACTACTGATTAAAACCAACGTTATTATGGAGCGGCGACGTCATTTAAGCAGGGAAGAAATGCTCAGAGCCGTGGGAATGATAGAAGCTGGTTCCCGGCAACGTACTGTGGCTTTAACTCTGAATACAAGTCAGAGTGTTATCAGTCGACTTTGGACACGATACCGAAGCACTGGTACCGTGGCTGAGCGCCATGGAGGACGGTATCGCTGCACCACACGGAGACA